AGAAGATTCAAACACCTCAGAAGAATCAGAATCAGAAAGTGAAGGTGATTCAACAAACAATCAAATAAAATCAGCAATGAAAATGCTTTTTGCTGCATTTGGGCCAAAACTAAAAATTACTAAAAAGCTAACGAAGAAGCGAGCGAGCAAGCCAATGCCTCAAGACCTGCCCGCTCCCATCCTGACTACGAGAGCGTCGACGCCCGAACCCAGAGAGCCCTGCCGATACCGCCCCACGCCACAGACCGAAGCAAGCACCAACGCCCTCAAAAGAAGAGGAAGAGCAGCCGCCATCGTTAGGACTCCCAAAATCGAGCCAGAGACCGATTCGTCTGAGGAGGAGCAGAACGAGCGAGCCGCAACGAGGAGAACCTCTCACGACGACTTCAAGGAAGAAATGGACAACGCGCATGCGCAAGACTACGCAGACGGTCCGGGAAGACATGAATTGACGAGGAGACCGTGCAGGCTCGTTGCGAGCATCCCCACGCCGTTTTGTAACTTTCTGCATTTACGAGACCACGGACTACCTCAGGTTGTAAGTAATGGACCTAATAATGTCGGAAATTTACCCAGCGACTTCCCAAAGCTAAGGATAGATGGCATTAATTTGCAAGAATGGTATCAGCAGCTCCAGGTTGTCTTTATGAAGGAAAACTTACTGTTTTTTATCACTAGTCCCCCAAAAAGACCTTGGACTCTAAAAATAGACTGTTTACACCATAGAGCATTTTTCTTATTAATATCTAGTGTATCTCCTGCAATATATCACAGCATTAAGCAAAATCTGACTATTTCAGAAATTATTCAATGCATGTTCAATTTGTTTCACAGTGACAGTGTAGCTACCACCACAAGGATGTCTAAAGATTTCTTTTCATCTAGGATAAAACCAGGGGTTTCCATAAGTGAGCACTTAATATCTTTAAACAAAATAAGAGCTGAGCTACATTTAAGGGGGGAGGTGATTTCAGACCAAACAATGAAAAGTGTTATTATCAACTCACTTGATCCATCATGGGACAATTATATGTCACATTTAGACACAATCAATCTAGGATACTTATCCATAGAAAGCCTATCCAATAAATTAATAGCAGAAGACAATTCAAGAAGGAATCGTTCTAACAATCACATAGAACACAAACCATATAGGAAAGTAACTTTCCAAGAAAAATATAATGAAACATTTAAATGTCACAACTGTGGATCCAGGGAACACAATAGAAGAGATTGCCCCAAAATTTCAAAAGAAAGACATAGGTCAGAATATAGAAACAAATACAATTATAGACAGTCTTCCATGGAAAGACATAGATATAGAAGCCCACCAAATTACAAAGAGAATAGAGGGGGCAGAGATAATTCAAAGGATAGAAAATCTGGTTCACTGAATGGATTAAATAAACAAGACAATACTAACATACAGCAGAATGAGAACAATAATTGGCTTATTGATTCTGGAGCAACTAATCACACCACTAATAACAAAAATATATTGTCTTCATTTGTAGAAGATAAATTTGTAATAAAGGTAGCTAACCAAGAAAAGGTTCAAGTATTAGGTAGAGGGAATGTAACCTTGCCTGGTCTAGGAAAAATAGAGGGGGTATTACTAATATCTGAAATACCTCATAACATACTAAGTGCCATAAAACTAAGTAGGGATTCTGATATTAACATTGTCTTTTCTAAAGGAAAAGCGACTTTGGAGAAAAATAAAATAGATATAGGCACTGTGATGATTAAAGGAGGCCTACCTTATCTAATAACAAAGGAAAGATGGTTGCACAACATTGATTCAAATATGGAAGATTGTATTGAAGTAGATGATGGAAACATTAGCAACAGTGACAATGATGAATGTAAAATATCTCATGATCACAAAGATGCACACAATGAAAAAAAACCAAAAATAGGTAAGCCAATTCATGATGAGTGTGCTCACATCTTACATAGGAAGTTAGGACATGCCAGTTTTCCTGTAGTACAAAAAATGACTGAACACGCAGAAGGTGTTAAAATAAAAAATTGTGAAAACTATCTGGAATGCTCAGTATGTAAATCTACAAAACTAAAAACTAGCCCCAGGCCAAGAAAATCTACTAGATCAACCAACAAAATTTTTGATTTAGTACACATGGACTTAGTTGGTCCACTAACTCCATCAATCACTTATAGAAAACGTTACTTCTTGACCATAGTAGACGATTATAGCCGCTATGGATTTGTTTATACATTAAAACACAAAGATGAAACCTTTCAAAAATTTAAAGAATTTTATAAACGCATAGAAACACAACACAATATCAAGATAAAACAAATCATGACAGATAGGGGATGTGAATTCATGTCTAAAGAATTCTCCCAATGGTTAAAGGACAAAGGAATGTTACATTACACATCTAGTCCATTTTCTGCGTTCCAGAACGGGATTGTAGAGAGGAAGAACTCAACATTACAAACCATGATTAGATGCACATTGGAAGATGCTGGCTTAAGCAAACAATTCTGGTCAGAAGCTCTACATTATTCCAATTACACACAGAATAGAACCTGGTCCAGCATTGTAAATAAGACACCATATGAAGTGATGTATAATAGGAAACCAAAATTGGCACACATGCACATATTTGGAGTCACTGCAGACGTACACATACCTAAGCAATTAAGAAGAAAGGGAGAAAACGTGTCCAGAAGACTCAGATTTATGGGATATGAGACAGGCACTAAAGGGTACAGATTCATTGATAATAATAACAAATTTATAGTCTCCAGAACAGCTGTGTTCCATGAACAGGCCAACTGGTCTAAAATACATCTTAATGAAATATTTCCAAGTAACAACAAAGATACAAAATCTCAAGAGAAAGGGACTATAGAAAAGCAAAATATCAACAAATATAAAAACAAAACCAAAACATGGACAAATAGCCAACACAAAATAAAGACAGACACACTAACAAAAAAGGAAGCAAGATATTTGCATGATAACAATAGTAAACCTGAAAAAACAATTAGAAACACCAGAAATCAGATGCCAAATAAATACAAGGATTACATAATGCATATGGATGGTGAGTCAACGACACCTAATACATATGAGGAAGTGTTAAAACTCCCTCGTAAAGAAAAAGAAAAATGGGAATTAGCAATGAAAAAAGAGATGGAAAGCTTACAAGGATTAAATGTATTTACACCTGCAATTGCACCAAAAGATAAAACAATTATTGGTACCAGGTGGATATATAAAATTAAGAATTTAGAGGGAGGCAATACCCTATACAAAGCTAGACTAGTTGCACAAGGTTATGCACAGAAATATCCGGAGGACTATACTGACACGTATTCCCCCACAGTAAGAACCGAGAGTGTCAAAACAGCTCTAGTGGTAGCATCAGCACTCAATCTCGATGTATTCCAATATGACAGACAGACTGCGTATCTACACGCAAAACTAGATAAGGAAATATATGTAAGAGCACCTCACAGTCAATACACAAACAAGAATGAGACTTGGTTGTTAAACAAGAGTTTATACGGGTTAAAACAATCTGGTAAACGATGGTATGATTGTTTAGTAAAAGTACTTAAAACCATGGACTTCAATGCTACCACTGCTGATAACTGTTTCTTTGTCAAAAAGGGTGATGATTACATAGAATTTGTATTGATCTATGTGGATGACATTTTATACATAGGAAAACATAAAGAGAGAAGAGAAACTTTTGTAACTAAGCTAAATGAACATTTCTCATTGAAATCTTTAGGCAAAGTAAACAAATATCTTGGTGTTCAAATTAATAAGACTAAAAGAGGATTCAAACTTACTCAGAGAGATAAGATCATAGAGCTCTTAAACAAATGCAATCTAAGTGATGCCAAACCTTGTGATACTCCTATGCAGACTGACTTTCTAAAAAATGCTGATGAATCATCCCCTGAATTCAAAGATAACACATTTTATAGATCAGTCATAGGTTCACTTCTTTATATATCTAATTGGACAAGACCAGATATCGCTTTACCCCTCAATTTATTATCCAGACATGTCAGCAAGCCAACAATGTACCACTGGGAAGCTGTTAAAAGAATATTAAGATATCTGAAAAGTACACTAGACTTTTGTTTAATGTTGGAACCTAACGATAATAAAGAACCAAAGCTTACATGCTACGCAGATGCGGACTGGGTTGGAGACACCTCATGTAGAAAAAGTACATCTGGTTATATATTCCTCTTAAATGACTGTCCAGTTTACTGGTACACTGGTAAACAAGAATTAGTGGCCACTTCAATGACAGAAGCAGAATATGTTTGTTTATCTAAAGCTGCAAATAACCTTGTATGGTTTAATGATTTAATTTCAGATGTTTGGAAAAAACCTGCTTTGCCTTTTGTTATGCATGAAGACAATAAAGCAGCTATTGAAATATCTAGATCTGACGCCATTGGACAAAGGTCCAGACACATAGATATAAAATTTAAACATGTGAGACAATTATCTCAGGATGGATTCATTAAAGCAGTGTATTGTGATACTTCTGAACAATTAGCTGACATATTGACAAAGCCTTTACCTTCTAAGCAGCATAAATACTTAACTTCTAAGTTGTATGTTTTGTATTGTCCTGAATCTGAATGTAATTGGTGTTGCATAACGAATCGGCATTTAGAGGGGGATTTGTCAGATGTAAATGCCTTATTCTCTAATGTGTAAATAGTATATGAACGGGGTATCAGGGGTTAATTTATTCTTCACTTCTTAATGTATTCATAATTCACCACTCCCATATCTAGCTCCACCCATTGTATATATAAGGAGCTGTTTGCACCCTTTTCCTTGCTTCTATCTGTGAATATTCAGTGAATATAGAATGCCTAATGTAAATAAAAGGAGATATATTTAAACCTTTAACTCTTGCTAAATTTATTGAGTCTGATCCTGAAAATATTGCAACACAACTAACCCTTGGATATTTTTCCCTTCCTCTTCGCAGGGGACGCTCCCAGCAGAAAGAAAGAAGAATAAAGGGGGATGAGCCTTCTTCTGAATTAGGCCGGACTCTTAGCAGGAGCCCTTCAGGCCCTTCCTGCATGCTGGAACCAGGATGGATTTTGGGTCTTTCATTATTGCTTTTATCATTGAATCAGTAACCTTTTTTTAATTATGATTGAGGATCAGAGGAGAAAAGAATATATTATGTGTTACTAATTGTGGAATCAAAAGATTTCAAATTGGGTTTTGTAGATCATAGTTTCTAATAGGAAGGTTGCCTAACAGCCTTAATGGGCTTTTGCTGATTAGTCTGCGTGGATGGAGATTAGAGGTTAAAGATGAGGTTTTAGAGATGGGTTTATAGAGAATGGAGAACGAGGAATAGGATGAAGAGTTCATTGGTTTTACTTTAAGAAAGATTTATAAATTGTTAATTTTCATTATATTTTCATTATAGATAAAGATGGAGGGTTTTTTTCTTTTTTTCCTTGTGTTAGTTTTATCTGTTTAATCTTCAATAAAACTATTACTAAGGGAAATGTGCATTTTGAAATTATTTGACCATATATTTGATAACACAAAGTTTGACAAATAATCACTATACCGAGTGTAACATCCAACACTGATTTTTTATAGATTGCCAATTAAGGATTTTCATGATTTAGAAAAATGGATCATGAAATCAATTCTCAGGCTGCTGCCTCCTTAACAATGGCACATCTTTTGTAAATTTGCCAAAATTGGTGAAAATAAATGGTTTTGTTTTCATCTTACCTGAGTTGCTGCATGTTTGGGGAGTTGGAATTGAGAGGGATTTTACCCTCCTTGTTGATCAGAGACCCCAATTCAGTGGTGAAAGCTGAACCAGTTTGTTACCGGTTTGCTGGGCTCACATGCGCACTACACACCAAAAGGAGGCTTGGGAAGGTAAGTAGAACAGCAGGGAGCATGCAATCTTGGGAACCTTTTTTTTAACTTTTTAAAGCATTTTTTACTACCAGTTCGAGCGAATAGGTAGTAAAAAATGATTTTAAAAGGTAAAAAAAAGGTTCCAACAATCACAGCTGTGCCGCACAATCGTTGGAACCTCTTTTTTTTACTTTTTTTAAGCATTTTTTTACTACCTATTCACCCGAACCAGTAGTAAAAAAATGCTTTAGAAAGAAAAAAAAAGTTCCAATGATCGTATGGCACAGTTGTGATCTTGGGAACCTTTTTTTTTACCTTTTTAAAGCATTTTTTTACTACTGGTTCAGTGAACCAGTAGCATTTTTTAGTACTGGTTCGGATGAACCAGCCCAAACCAGTAGAATTTCCCCCCTGCCCTGATTTCACTTTGAGTAGGAGGAAGGGGAGAAACGAAGGCAAAGCCAGAGGCGGGAGGGGGGGGCTCCTGTGTGCTCCTTTGGGGAGGAGGCAGCCATTTTGCTCCTGTCTCCAGATGTTTCTCTAGCATCTCCAGTTGCTCTTGTGTAAAATGGCTGCTTGGTTTTGGCTTGGTGGTGGCAGCAACAGAGGCTGCTTTTCCTCAAATCCCCCTTTGCCTCAGGCTGTTGGCCAAGTGGCTGATCGCTGAGCCTCATCCAGGGGCCCATCGGGAGACAGGAGTTCAGTGCTCGGCCAGAGACATCCTGGTCCCCTTGCAGGAGGGCAGCTTCTCCTGCTTCTCAGAGATCCTCTCTGGGCTCTTCAGGTGCCCAGTATGATGCGGTGGGGAGACCAGTGGTGGGTTGCCCCCGGTTCGGACCGGTTCTATAGAACCAGTAGTAAAACCAGCGGGAGGCTCCGCCCACTGACCCTGACCTCACCAGAAATGATATGCGCAGAAGCTTCTGCATGTGCAATTACTTTGCTCGCGCCCGCACGCAATCCCATTGCAAAGCGATAGTAAAGGTAAGTAGAACCCACCCCTAGGGGAGACCCTTGATTGATAGGAAAGATGTCCCCCCCATATTACAATGGATGCTTTGGGGGCACGGAGGAATGAAAAGGGTAGGGTCTGTCCTCCTCCCCTCCCTCTGGACTAGCCATCTTTGAAAGCTTAACAAGTAAACTTGAAAGCATTTTGCAAGAATTCAGTGCATATTTCAGCCTCTTCCACTGATTCAAAAGTTTTAGAAATTTATTTCTTAATTAGAATACATGACCACCCAGCTCACATAAGAGGCTCTGGTCAGCCAACACGATAAAAATATCAATACAAGAACAAAAGACAATAAATATAATGCATGAAAGAAAAAGGAGCACCAAGGATAAACCAGTCAGCACAAATTCATTCAGTTTAGTCTACAGGGAGTCCTCGACTTACAACAGTTCATTTAGTGACTGTTCGAAGTTACAACGGGATTGGAAAAAGTGACTTATGACAGTTTTTCACATTTATGCTCGTTGCAGCATTCCTATGATCAAAATCTGGACACTTGACAACTGGTTCATATTTATGACAGTTGCAGGGTCCTGGAGTCACGTGATCCCCAATTGAGAAGCCAGTTTCACTTAACAACTGTGTTACTAACTTAATAATTTCAGTGATTCACTTAACAACCGTGGGGAAAAAAGTCGTAAAATAGGGCAAAACTCATTGAACAAATGTTTCACTTAACAATAGAAATGTTAGGCTTAATTCTGGTCGTAAGTTGAGGACTACCTGTGGTGCTTAAGGCACCAGGCTAGAAACCAGGAGGCAGTGAGTTCAAGTCCCACCTCAGGCACGAGAGTCAGCTGTGTGATTTTGGGCCAGTTATCGTGTCTCCACAGGGTTGTTGTGAGGAAAATAGGACAAGGAAAGAGTGTTATTTATGTCCTCAGCCTTGAGTTCTTTATGAAAATGATAAAGGTGGGATATGAACAAAGAAACTCATGGGCTTAACTCTCGCCCGATCTCAAGCACATCTGAAAGAAAAACAAAAGGCCATCGTGGTTCAGTCTGATCTAAAGTCCAAAGGAAATAATGTCCCCGTGGGTTGGTGGTGGAGCCTTAGTCATGTCCTTCCTTGATAACTTTAAGGATTGCGGTTCAAGAATCAGAAAATTATAAGCAAACAACTAAAGAACAAATATAAAATCAATTGTGTGAAAGTCTTTGTCTCCTTCCTGGGTTGTGGTTTCATTTAATGACTGTGTCAAGACTGAATCACTTTATTGCCTTCTAGCTTCTATCACTATTAACCTTGCCAATGAAAAGGGGGAGGGGTGGAATCTGTAGAGAGAAAACGAGATGCTAAGAAGCCGTCCGTGGGCCGTGAGAACTTGCAAAACGCCAAGGTCACTACTGCAGGTGTTTGCTGGAGAAGGGGCCCGTTCCCATAACAAAAAGAAGTTTTACAATTGGACAACATGAACACCCGAGGGGTGGGAAAAGAGAATCTGAGCAAGGTTTTGCGTTGGAAAACCAGAGCTGGTTTTGCTTCTTCAGTTCCGAGACGGTGAATTCAATAAAGTTTTACTTTTGGGGAGTTCCTTTTTTGGAGTTCACTAGTCGGACCATTGACAGACTGCTTTGTTTAATAACTGAGTTGCCAGTTCCAATTTTGGTTGTTAAGTGAGATCACCTATACCTCCTTTTAGTGGTATGTAAATATTCTTGCAGTAAATGTCCATGACCGATAGGATCAGGATTTGATGTCTTGATAAATTCCAAATACCAGGGATGACTAAGATGGCATAAATTTCTTTAACACACTCAGTCAAGAACAAAAAAACCCAAAAACTTTACAGCATACAAAGAGCAGTGTATTTAATCATTCAGACTTCGAAAGATCACAGTACATGTTATCAGATTCCTTAAAATCTTTCCAGTTTAGCAGACTGCCAGAGACGGCGATGGTGGTGGTGGGGATCAGCCTGCCCCCAAACTCTTCTCCTGCAAGGCCAGACTGACTCCTTTTGGGATCTGACGGTCTTGGATCAGGAGGCTCAGAGAGCGGCAAAGAGGAGATTTGTCAAACAATTACGTAGCAGCTGTCCAGCTGAAGTCAAAAGACACTGAGACAAATTTGTAGTTTAGATATATAAATATATTTAATATTTATAGTTGCAGCAGACTAGATGGTCAGGAACATCCTGAGGTCAATCAAACGGCACACAGAACACACAGACAAAAAAGGCGGGAAAAAGGGAAACTCCCCCTTTATACCCACAGCAACCAATCACAGCGTGGATTGATTCGTGCAGAAGCCAGCTCAACCAATCAACTACTGCCTATTGTACATTTTTGTGTTCCAGCTACTAAATTTAATATCCTAACAAGCCTGGGGGGTCCCCAGTGCAGGAGGGAAAGAGGGGCAGATGAGGGGCTTCCTGAGAGTCTTGCAGTCATGGATGGAGAAGGGGCTTCTCTCTACTCCTTCGAGCCCTCTGGGGATCCCTCCCTCCAGATGCTGAAGGAAGACATAGGGGGGAGATAGGGATCCATAGGTCTCCAGAAGCAACACAGACTAGTATTGGATTCCTATATTTGAGGGGGGACATTGATTTTATGTAACTTGTGGGGCAGGTTCTCAGCCGCCTCAGGAGCCAGTCACAGCCCTGCCTCTCCCTTCTTTCTACCTTGGAAAATCCCACCCAGCTGATCCCTCTCTTGAGGAAGCAGCAGTTCTCACCAGTGGGATCAGCTGGACAGATTGGTGCTGATCCCTCAGCCTGGGTGGTGGGATTCCTCCTCTGGGCTCCCTCCCAGACTGACCCTGCCTGCTTCTTCCCTCCTTTTTGCAGCGCGAGTGGACAGTCCCAGCATGAGGAGAGAGGAGAGAAGATGGGACCAACCTTCTCCTGAATTAGGCCGGACTCTCAGGCCCATCCTGCATGCTTGGAACCAGGATGCATTTGGGGTCTTTCACCATCGCTTTTATCATTGGATCAGTAACCTTTTGTATTAGGATTGAGGAACGGAGGAGAAAAGAACATCTTAGGTGTTTATAATTGTGGAATCCAAAGGATTCAAACTGGAATTAGTAGATATTATTTTATTTTTTATTTATTTGTATCCTGCTGAAGACATGGAAGATATCTAACACACCTTCTCCTCCTATTTCCCCCACAACCACCACCCTGGGAAGTGGGTTGGGATGAGAGAGAATGACTGGCCCACCCAAGCCGTCTTTCGTGGCTAAGGCGGGACTTGAACTCACAGTCGCTTTCTAGCCTTAACCACTACACCAAACTGCCTTGTACAGCTTGTAATAGTGTTGTAATATAGCTTGTAGCAACTATGTTGTTATTTCTGATGTCCTTTAATGGGTTTCTGCTGATTAACAGGTTTTAGAGAAAGGCCCATAGCGAATGGGGCGAGGAATAGGATGAAGAGTTGCTGGTTTCACTTTAAGGGAGAGTTTTTTCTCTCTCATTTTTCTTTGTATAAGTTGTATAATGAATAGTATGTACCATATACTGCCATTTATGGATTTTTACAGTTTAGAAAAATGAAATAGGAACCTTCTCCCATCATGCCGTGCTAAATGGACATAATTTTTTTCTGCTGCCGATGAACAGCTGATTTTGCCACAAAGTTGGTTATTTGGTGGCTTTGCTCCCTGTTTTTTAAAGGGGAGACTAGGAACAACCCAAGATGACCTTCGGACAATCATGCACAGACAGAGAAGAGAGGGGGCTGGATCTCTTGCCATCCTTTCCCTTCAGCTGCTCAGCTTTCTTAAGCACACCTGGGTTTTAATTGCACTCCTGAAGCTTTACAATCTCTTGATTTATGACTAGTTCACTTCTGACCTATTTTATAACCTGGACTTTTACAACTTTTTTTCCCTCCTCTTTCATT